GCAGCACGTCTCTCTGCACGACGACAGTGACGCAATGGATCACCATTCCCTCTTCCTCTCCCACCTCTGTTCCTACACCAACATCCACATCCACCTCGAGCTATGCACCTCCAACGTACACGTACACATTGTATCCGCCAAATCCCACGGCCACAGCTACCACCACGGCATACGCTAATCCGCCTTATCCTACATCCACCTCGAGCCCCTTCACACCAATCATCACGGATGGTAAACCGAAAGATTCGGCAGCGTATGCCGCTTGCGCATGCATCGTCGCCTGGGTCACATTGGTGTATGGTGGTATACCCAGCTCTTCGAGAGATCTAGCAGCGTGAGTCTCACTTCCCTAGCGGCGGCTCTTTCATTCTCGAGCCGCAGCGTTGCACCATCTCTGCCCAGTCTGTTGCTGACATGATCGTCTTGGCGAGGCACTGGCAGATCTCTAATCTTCCTGGGTGAGTGGAAAGGCAATGCAGCTTCAGTATCAGCCTAGCTCGCCCGCGCACTCCCCGCACGCTGGCTCACCCGTGCAAGGCGAAACGCACAGCCATCTTTACCATCCTCTTCCTGATCACGTTGTACAGGCTGGTCGTCTTTGGTCGTTTTAATCGGACGTGAGCATCTTTGCACGCCAAAAAAAAATTGCCCTACCACCACTAAATTTTTCAAATTTCCCGTCGCCGTTCTCTCTCCACAGAGTCTTCATCAACATGTTTCCGCTGGCCCTGTTCTGCTTGTTGATGGTCATCGCCATGGGCACACGGTGAGTACATCCCCCGCCTGTCCGGCATCGACGAGATGCTGATGCATCTCACACCTTCTTGCCTTGCCCTCAATCAATCAGCGCATGGACTTCCAACAACACGCCAGACATGGATCATGTCCTCGCAGGCCACATTGAGCTTCTCATCGCTCTTCCCCTCCTCATCGATTCCTTCTTGCAATGCCTAGGTCTGATTTGCAGGAGAGCCCAGCCTGGCGGTTACATCGATGCCGGATCCCTCTTTTTGCGAGCGGTCAATGTGGCAGCTTTGATCGTAGCAGCCGTAGCTGCCGAAGAGTTGTCGGATTGTGAGTCGAGCTGAGCACCTCGTGTCACTACGCCATGAATGCTCACTTGATTGCTCGACTTTGACGTCTACTATTTGGCTGACGCTATTGCTATTGACGCACACTAGTCCTGCACGATTGGGAAGATGGAGTGGCGGATTGCTCGAGCAGGAAAAGCCTCGTCATCTTGCCCCTCGTGGCAACGTCCATGATGATCGCAGTCGTAGCTCTGGGTCTGCTCCTGTGAGTGTCGACACCAGTCGATCAGACGTTGATCGCATTCCGCTACCTCGTCACTGCTCTACCTTTCCACATCTCGCTGACCTCTCTCTCTGGCTTTGGTCGCACTTTCTCAGCGCTCTTCTTTCGCACTATCGAAGTCTGGTGGAATGGCGAATCGTTCTTCATATGGTGCTCCTCGCGTTGTTGCTGCTCGTGTAAGTTCCACCGAAGCGTCGATGTGCCGAGCCACCTGCGGCCCACTGACCGCATCTCTGCCTCGCCTTGCACTCAGGCACCTCCTCTGGCGCATATCTCGAGATGTGCACGCCTTGCACGTCTGGCAAGCTGGTTGGTCGGACTGGGTACCCAGAGATTCGACCTGGTGGGGAGGGTTTTCCAACACGAACGCATCTGCTGCTTATCCCACGTCTTGGCCCTTCGGACCATGTTGGGGCGTGCTCGCACTCGGAACACCCAATTGGGACGTGCTGAGAAGGATTCGACAAGCAGCTGAAAGTCCCGCATTCTTTTGGGGTGTTGGTATCACGTTTGTCGCGTAAGTCGGGCGAAAGTGATGTTGAGATTGTCCCTTCTTCCCCCCACCTCGACTGCGCGCTTCTCTCTTCTCGATTGCTGACGAATCTGCGAATATTTTGGATGGACGCGCGGGCAGCTTGGCAATTATCGTCTTGATGGCTGTCAATTTGCCCTTTCACTCGAGTGAGCACATGATGTGATGCTATGCGAAACGACATGCTCGTCTCTGGATGCATGCTGACTCGCACGCCTTCTACGCACCAGCCCAAATGCCACCTCCTGCAGCCGAGCCAGATTCGGCACGATACCAAGTGAGTCCGCAGCGCATGAGGACCTGCGCAAATTACTCAGACTTGTCCTGCGTGCGCTCGGGCGTCTTACTGCCCCCATCTTTTCATCCCAAACAGCTCTGCTACGACGCCGAGGCGAACAGCGCGTCCTTCAAACGAGGTGAGCGACCATGATGACCCGGCCGCGCTCGTCTCTTGCCAAACCATGCAAAGCAGCTCATCCTTCCTCGCGTGGCTTCTGCGCGCCACAACCGACAAACCAGTGGACAATCCGGGCGCTTCTCGTTTGCCGAGCGGAGAGCCGTTGTACGAGCTGGTCAAGGCTCACGATGGAAGTTGGGCAGTTAGGGAAGCGTCTGCTTCCTCCCCATGCGGCTTGCCAAAGTGGGATCACATCACTTGCAGACCCTGGTACTCTTAATAAGAGACTCTTTCATTCCTACTCCGCATGCACGCACCTTTGAGAATGTGCCCAACATTCTTGGCGCGAGCTTTTCTCTTCTCCACTGTCGTGTCCGCTCACCACACCTTTGTTCTGCCCCCCATGCCGTTTGGTCCTGCCTCCTGCTCATATGTATGCAAAGCACTTGCGCACTAGCTAGCTCACGCTGCCCTCCTTCTTCTCAAAACAATCGATTCTTTGCGTGGCATTCTGGATGACTTTTGAAATTTGCGTACGATCGACCCAGGAGGATGGAGAGTGTTGGCATGCCTGCAAGACAAACCTTCTGTGCATGCCCAACAAGGACGACGTTGATACTAAGCTCGACTACACGTGCGATGTCCGCGATATGCCATGCAGGACACCACGTCATGCACATCTCGATGCTGCTCTACTCCTTTTTGCTGCTCTTCTTGCCACTCTTCGAAACGGCCACAGCCGCACCCGAAGCTTCATCGTATGCCTTTTCCGCGGACTTGCCAGCTCCCGAAGGAGGGCCCGTGATTCTTCGGAGCAGCTTGACAGGCCACAAAGTGGACGCGCTAGGCACCTCCAGCTTGTGCGTGCCAATCTCTTCCCAGTTGCCTTCTCCATCCCCCAACCAAAGTCCGCTTTCGGAAATCTTCATGTCCACTTTAGGACCCTCGGGCAGACCTCGCGCCAAGAGCTTCTTCAAGGTCCTCTCTTCCTCGATCGGATCGGTGTTGTACGCCGGTAGAGGATCTACTTGGAGAGGTACTCGTACTTTGCGCTCAGGTCTGACCCCGTTGGGCTTGGATCGGAAGGAAGGTCCCCATGCTTGAAGCTTTGCGTGCTCGGTCAAGAGCTCCAGGCGCTTCGTGTCGCGCTCGTAGTTGATGCGCTGTATGATGTGCTGCAAGACGCAAGTGACTAGAACGACCACAGCAATGGCGAACGCCAGTCCTGGTCTCCAACGAGAGTAGTAGAAGCCTGAAAGTCCGCCTACTTGGCTACGCCACTTAGGAAACCCATGGCTGCATTCATATACATCAAGAGTGTGAGTGCAAGCGCGTGATGCTTGCGCTGACGTACTGAAGCTCTTACTCACGAGAGGAAGTAGTCGTACCTGTCTCTTCGCTCATCCCGCAAAATTTTGTTGACCAAGCCCAAGCGCTTGAACCTCTCGCTCGCCTTTGGATCTTCGGGATGTTTGTCTGGGCTGCGGGGTGTACGACACGACAGACGGAGAGTGAGACGGAGAGTGTGAGTAGCTCGCTGTGAGATTGATCGAGGTGCTGCTACATCCTCAAGCTCGTCCACGTAGCGTCGCTATGCACCTCGCGAGCTCCTGACCTCCTGCCACGTCAAGCTAGGGAATGCATTCCTGACCCTTCCCTGCCACGAAATGGCATGTGTACACAGTGCTAGTCCTCTCCACTCACTGCAGCTCCATGCTTCTCAGCCTGTAGTTCTTTTTAATCGCAGCAGCGGTAGCGCTCTTGGTGAGATTCATGATCGAGTAGAAAGTTGTACCAGGCCCTTCAGCTTTCTCAAGCGCGGACTGAAGTTGAAAGATCTGAAGAATTGGCGAGAAGGGTTGCATGGGCGTGTTAGAGATCGAGAGATGGGTCAAAGCTGATAGCTTTGATCTCCTTTGGCAGCGAGACTCACCTCGATGTCATCCTTGGACCACTCTCGCTGAGCAGAGACCAGCTGAGTGCTGGCCAGGAGCAATACTGCCAGCAGCGAGAGCAAAAGAGAGAAGCGCATATCGTCTGATGTCCAAGATCGTGATGCTCTAGTACTAATAGAGTGCGTCGCTTTCCTCTCCGAACGTTTCGGTTGCCTGCGGTAGCTTCAGCAGGCCGAGGACGTGCAACAATGATTGGGGGCTGGCTTTGCGCTCGCCAACGCTTCTTTATCCTTTACGGGATGATGACGTGCTGCAATTGAACTTGAAGTGAGGTCAAACGTGTGTTGTTCGGTCGGAATTCGCTTTGACTTTGAGGGTGATCTTGAGGTCGCCAGCCATGTGTGAGATCGTGAGTTTGGGTGTGAGTCTTGAGTCTGTGAGTTACAGTGTATAGTCGACGCTAAGCTTCACACTTGCGCGACGCTTCGTGCCCTGCATTCAGATTCTTGATTGTGTTGGCGGGGAAGAAGTCAAGAGTCAAGAGTGTGCTCGCTGGCCATGTCCACGTGACTTGCTTGCTCTGAGGTAGCGCAGACCGCCAACGCCGCGGCTCGGCCGCGCAGCGCCGAATCTGCATGCCATGTCCCACTCTCCCGCGCTAGCGACCGCGGCACGCACTCAAAGTCACCAGTTACAACAACAGACTTGCCCTGCGTCGAGAGGCTTCCCTCTCCCCTTTCATGCGAATTAGCTTTCCATCATTGTGGATGAGGATCAGGCAGGGCTGAACTGTACGTATGCATTTTGGGATCAAGAGAGAGAGAGTGTGTGTGTGATCGAGTCATTAGCGAATCACGACTGCGAGGGTGTCACAGCAGGCGAAAGGAGCACAGAGAGGCATAAAAGGGCGCGACAAGGAGCATCCCATGCCTTCGTGACTTGCCATGCCATTTCCATCTCTCCCACAAAGCTTTTGAATTTCCAATCACATCTCAGCCGCTTCTACCTGATCCGAGTCCGGACCAGTGGCAAACATGGCTGCTGCTACTACTCTTCCCACATCCGCTGCGTCGGAGTATCACCGCTCGGACGATGCAGAAGCTTATGCCAAGAACGCCGCTTTCGTGAGTCATTTCCGGCGAGCTTCAATTGACCTTTGCCAGGGTTGACACCTCAACATCGACACAGGTGTACGGTGATGAAGCAACCAGACCCGTGCTGCAGTTTCTCAATGCTCAGCCTGGGGAAAAGATTTTAGACGTAGGCTGTGGTGCGTGTCAAAGTGGTTGCCGAAAACACCCCATTCTCACACAGAGCATGTATACTGACAAAGAGCTGGTCACACTGCGGATGTGTGGCCTGCAGGCAATGGACAACTGACCATGAGGCTCTCGCATCTGGTCGGCTCGACTGGAAGAATCGAGGGCACTGATGCGAGTGCAAAGATGATTCATGCTGCTCAGACCTCTCTGAACGCAGCAGACGATCTGGTCAAGAGCAACACAACTTATCAAGTCATCGACGCGCACGATCTAGATACGTGGCTAGACGCCGACTCTAACAAGCGCTTCGACAAGGCGTTCAGGTAAGGTTGG